GGCCATGGCAAGATGACGTCATTTTTACTGAAGGAAGCACTTTTCTTTCTCAGTTCTCTCCACTTCTTGCCAGCTATTTCCAGTCAAGCTGAAGTGGAGAAACTGTTTCCATAGTATGATGCGTCATTAATATCTTGTTTTTGTGTACTTTCAGATGTGCAAACAAAGCATCTGTTCCCCTCCGGAATGAGAGCCTCTTCCTCTAGCCCCTGTTTCTGGGCTATTGAGCGTGTGCCTGCAGGCCTCCACGCCAGCCAGCCAAGACAATCTGCCCTCACCCTGCCTCACTCTTGGAGCGCAGATGGACTCCACACGATGATGCTCGGCAGTGCCGGATGGAGCCATGCCCTCAGAAACGGGGCAACACCACTGGAACTGCAGCGCTTGGAGCCTCACCACTGCTGTTATTAGAGCAGTTGGTAAGTGAAACAAGCAGGTAGAAGGGCAGGCAGCCCTTAGTCTGCGTGGAGCTGGAAGCAGGCTAGCAGTGAGTTGAAATAGAAACCCTTCTGTTAATGGAACAGAAGTCATTTTTAAATATGGGGGTTTTGAGAGTAAACCTTGTGATATCCCCTATGCCACCGTGTCATCTGGCCCTCTGCCTTCCAATACAGTGGCCTTTCTTATGCTCCTACATTTCCATACAGAGCTACCACCGTGCCACAGTGATATAATTTGGGGCTGTAATTCCAATAGCCCTGCACATCTTGCACGTGGTCCCCCAGTGAGGTTTACAACCCACCATATGGTGATGCTGGCAGCTAACTCTCTGATGGGCCTGGTCTGCATCCTCTGAGGCAATTAGATCTCACTTCAAGACTAGCAGTTCCCACAGTGGTTCTGCTACCAGCACAGTCTGGGCTTGTCTCTACATTGCCATTGTGGCACTTCAGTCCACTTTCAAACCCGTGCAAGCGGCAGAGTGTATTCTCATTACTAGTTCACAGGTTTTTGTGAGATATGGCTTACGGATCCACCTGAACTGGTGAAAGTAATGGCTGTCCTCAGCCATGCCGCATTGTTGTCGGTGCCTTTTGGTCCCCAGTTGTTATTCCTTCAGCTCTGGCAGTGAGCTGCTCCCATGGGTACACCCCTTTGAGTCACGATGAGCACGGTTTGCTTCAAAATTTATATCGTTCGTGTTTCCTAAGCACACCAGCTCATTTTCACTGAAGTGGATAAGGGATGCTCCCAGCGGGCAGTAACCACTGTCAGGCAGACAGCAGCAAGCAGCTGGTATGATAATTTCTTCCACTGGGGCAGCTGAATCCGGAAAAAGACATTTGTCCACACCAGTTTAAACTGGTTCAAGGGCATCTGTACAAACTGTCCAGCTTCCTGTAGCCGTGGTGCTCTGGTGCTTTGTGAAGATCAGGCTCTGGAAAACAAAGGCCCCATCCTGAACTTGCTGTGGTCTCCGTTCAGTGAGGGAGGGGCACAGCCAGAGCTCAACACATCTGATTGTTCTTCTAGTCTGGTCTGTCTTTCTGCTCAGACCAAAGTTTCTTAGACCGTTTCCTTTATCAAGCAGGATACAATTGGCAGGAAATTCCTCGGGTGGATTTCCTATTCTGTGATAATCCGCAGCGTGCTTACGCATTGGTCAGGACAGGACAGGGGTAAGGGTTGGGGGGGGTTGAAAGCAGTTTGCAGAATCAGGAAGTTGAACCAAGAGAGAGGAATTTGTCTCTTTTTTAATGTGCTTATTGTAATGTATTTTTGTGTAAAGCTTGTCCTTTGACAAGCACATCAAAGTAACTTTACTGAGAAAGATGTGAGGTTGTGCCATGCATTTGTCCTCTGTGTGTATTCCCAAGATGCAGAGGAATCCCGTAGGGCTGCGTCTCCTCACAGTCACAGATATGCCTCCCTCGTGGTTTGCACAGCTGCAGCTCAGTTAGAATTTGGCTCACTGTTATTGTTTTGGTGCAAGAGCCCGTTTTGTTTGTGAAACAAAACAGCAAGATATTTCTGTTAGCAGCGCAGCAGTATAAGCAGGCGGGGGCAAATCCATCAGTGTAGTTTATTGCCAGAGACGAGGTCGTGTGTAAAGTGTTTTGGAGACTCCAAATACAACAGTGGATATTTTGGATATTAAAGAGTCTACCTGGGGAAATCTTACTCTGTTGCTTTTGTCACGTGGCCCCAAGAGTAACTGAAAGGGGTAACTTTCTCATTTACTCTGCTTTAAATTATCTGTGTGATTGCTGCTGTGGCCTGTGTGTGTACACACGAAAAGGAGGGCACTGTCACCCCCGGGTGCATGGGAAAGGAACGCGGTTAGGGCACTCCTGAGATGCTCCAGGATCGTGTCTTCTGGGTTGTGCTGCCTGTTCCTTTTCAACCTAACAGTAAAATGAAAGCCAAAAATATCACCCAAAGACACCTGATGCAACAGCCCCACCATGAGCAAATTAGCTTTGGAGAAACCTGTGTTGTGAACTGCAGTATCTGTGGAGAAGTCGGGCAGTATTTTTAATGTAAAGGTGGTGAAGGAAAGCAAGCAGTGTGTACAAAGCACTGCTGGCCCTGCACTGTGACGGAGGGGGGGCTGGCAGTCCCTTCTCAGCCTGGCTTTTGTAGTCACTCAGCAAGCAATGACGGTGCGCGTTGCTGGCAGCGGAGCTGGTGGATTACCCTCGTTCCCATGGCTTGACTCTCACCTACACAAGCACTTTGCTAGCACGCCCCAGATTTGTTCAGGTGTTCTGTGTCAGAGTTGGAAGGCACAAACTGTGGTACAGAAGGGAGTCCCCTGTGTGCACGATCCAGAAGCACTTACCTGCCATCCATGCACCGCCGTGTAAGCCTACAGATGCGCTCCAGCTGTTTAGGGCACTGTTGTCTTTCCATTCTCTGCGAGTGCAAATCCCCATGGTTAACACCACCTGTGGGCTTCCTCCTCTGTTACTAATATCTGTGTCTTAGTTTTCCTACACATGCTATTATCCTAAAACTGTCTTACAGCTCAAGTACATACAGATCAAAGTGAAAACCCGTAATATGGTTGAAGCTTGTGACTGAATATTTCAAAACAGTGTTTTCACACTTCCCTTTTCCCAGGTTACCTTTGGCAGACTCCAGCCATCTGTTGTCTGCTTCTGGGCAAGGACTATGCCACAAAATCCAATGGCCTCCAAAGAGAGCATGGAGAGAGAAATCGTGGGCACCTAGTGCAGCCATAGGAGAGATGCCAGTGCTGATTTTGGGGCGTTTTACAAAATGCCAAGTTCACAGTGGTAGAACCACAAAAGCTGAAGGGATCAGTAGGAGACAGCAGGCAGATCTCCCCTTTCCGAGTTGCCATTTCAGGCTTTCTGCAGATGCATCGTTACGTCAGCTATACTGCACCTTGTTCCAGAGATGGTAGTGATAGGAGAAAACAATTTTATTTAAATAAGAACTGAGATCCTGGAGCCCAACTCTGTAGCACGTTGCAAAGTCCATGACTGCGCTATGTTTATCGTCCGGGGTGCACAGTCTACAGTCACGTGGGTGTAGCTGTCTGTGTTGTGCTTGTGGTTAATCTAACAACCCCCATACCCTCCGTTGGCCTGCCCGGGGAGGAGAGGGCCCTCCTGCTGTTGTGTGACTTGAGTGTGATGGTGAGGTGAAAGATGAGAGTGGAAGAGGAGGAAAGCTAGGAAGGCAAGAACAGGCAGGTAGAAGGGAAGTAAACAAGGTGAAATCAGTCATAGAGAAATTTGATGGTGTGAGGCAAAGGAAGAAATAGCCTGTTGTGATCAGTCTACACATGGATGATACAGTGACCCTGCCAAAGCACACGTGTGCACCCCAAATGCAGAAAGAAGCTCTATCTGATTCTAATCTCCTTATCACAGCCGTCAAGCTGCCTACAGAACAGGAGCACTGTCTTCCAGTCCAAGGCTCTTCCCATGTGCCGACAGCTTCAGAGTTGGAAGGCACAAACTGTGGTACAGAAGGGAGTCCCCTGTGTGCACGATCCAGAAGCACTTACCTGCCATCCATGCACCGCCGTGTAAGCCTACAGATGCGCTCCAGCTGTTTAGGGCACTGTTGTCTTTCCATTCTCTGCGAGTGCAAATCCCCATGGTTAACACCACCTGTGGGCTTCCTCCTCTGTTACTAATATCTGTGTCTTAGTTTTCCTACACATGCTATTATCCTAAAACTGTCTTACAGCTCAAGTACATACAGATCAAAGTGAAAACCCGTAATATGGTTGAAGCTTGTGACTGAATATTTCAAAACAGTGTTTTCACACTTCCCTTTTCCCAGGTTACCTTTGGCAGACTCCAGCCATCTGTTGTCTGCTTCTGGGCAAGGACTATGCCACAAAATCCAATGGCCTCCAAAGAGAGCATGGAGAGAGAAATCGTGGGCACCTAGTGCAGCCATAGGAGAGATGCCAGTGCTGATTTTGGGGCGTTTTACAAAATGCCAAGTTCACAGTGGTAGAACCACAAAAGCTGAAGGGATCAGTAGGAGACAGCAGGCAGATCTCCCCTTTCCGAGTTGCCATTTCAGGCTTTCTGCAGATGCATCGTTACGTCAGCTATACTGCACCTTGTTCCAGAGATGGTAGTGATAGGAGAAAACAATTTTATTTAAATAAGAACTGAGATCCTGGAGCCCAACTCTGTAGCACGTTGCAAAGTCCATGACTGCGCTATGTTTATCGTCCGGGGTGCACAGTCTACAGTCACGTGGGTGTAGCTGTCTGTGTTGTGCTTGTGGTTAATCTAACAACCCCCATACCCTCCGTTGGCCTGCCCGGGGAGGAGAGGGCCCTCCTGCTGTTGTGTGACTTGAGTGTGATGGTGAGGTGAAAGATGAGAGTGGAAGAGGAGGAAAGCTAGGAAGGCAAGAACAGGCAGGTAGAAGGGAAGTAAACAAGGTGAAATCAGTCATAGAGAAATTTGATGGTGTGAGGCAAAGGAAGAAATAGCCTGTTGTGATCAGTCTACACATGGATGATACAGTGACCCTGCCAAAGCACACGTGTGCACCCCAAATGCAGAAAGAAGCTCTATCTGATTCTAATCTCCTTATCACAGCCGTCAAGCTGCCTACAGAACAGGAGCACTGTCTTCCAGTCCAAGGCTCTTCCCATGTGCCGACAGCTGCTGCAGAAGCCCCGAGCCTGTTTCGTTGTGGACTTGGACCTTCTGGGACAAAATCATTTCAAAGAGGGTGCTCATTTCTGAAAGGAAAGTGCTGGCCAGTCTTGTCCCAGTGGCATTAGAGTCAGCCCCAGCACCTTTGCCGAAGGTCTCAAAGGTCCTTGGTTTCTCCTGCGTTGCAGCTTCTTCATCCTGAGGTGAATGCAGAGAGTCGGGGCAGAAGACGTTGTCCTTGTAACTACTGGTGAGTGGCAAGGAGAGCCGAGCCACCCATGCTGGGTCAGCAGCCGTCAGCCTCTTGAGGGCCAGCTCTGGAGGGAGTGAAAACAAGAACTGTTGGTGAGATGTGGCCTGGAGGAGACCACAAGAGAGAAGGAGACCACAGGAGAGAGGAGAAGGGGGGGGGTGGGGGGGGAAGAAAGGAAAAAAAATTGAGAAATGAGGAGACTTCCTGAAATCAGCTGTGAGGGGACTGATTGTAAACAGGTCTAGAGATAAGCTACCAGCAGCATCATTCAAACCAGCAGCTTAAAAAAAAACAAACAAACTAGAACTAGTTTAAAACTACTTGGATTTTTGCTGTTTGTTTTTTTTTTTTTAAAATAATAACCATTAGGATCACTTTGCTTTCTCATTTGTTGCAGCCTCAAGTGGCACTTCATTAAATTGTTAGCAAAGCCAGAGAAAGTGAGGGTTTAGGACTGGCTAAAGGGGAGACGACAATGGAAAGCTTTCAGGGGGGAAGTATCGGGCAGAAAAAAGGTCAGTAGTGGACTTCCCTTATGGGCCACTCTAGGGTGGGAATTTGCTGATAAGCAGGCATATTGAGACTGAAAAGAAATGGGTTATTGTGAAAACAATAACAGAAGTAGAATGAAATTCTGGATTATAAAACGCACAGCTGGATGGTTGAAGACTAGTAACAAAAAATTGAGCTATAAAGTAATTGTTCATCAATTGGAAACAGATGAGGAGCAGTGGGAGCCTGGTGTGGGTGTTGGCTGCAGGCTCGTTAATGTACCAGTAATGTGATTCTGCCCTGAAATGGGTAAATGAAATCATACAATGCGTTGGCCAAGGTATTCCCTGTTGGCATGAAGACATAACCGTGGTATTGTTACTAGCTCTGGCGAGACCTGATCAGGAGTGTTACATACAAACCTGATTACCCATCTGTAGGAAAGAGGATCTGAAGTGACAGAAGTGCAGAGAAAAACTATTGAGATGCAAACAGGAGCGAGTCCAGGCTTACACGATGGAGACCCTAAGAGGCAGAGGTTGCTTAGCCTAAGGAAGCAAATGCTGACTGGTGATCTGACTGCAACCTGACATTATTTTGATGAGGTAAGCACCGACAAAGGAAATCTTTATGCTTAAAATAGTGTTGGCAAAAGAAGAAGTGATTATAACTGTCCATGGATAAACATATACTGGAAATTAAAGGAAGGGCCCCATAGCAGGGTGAGCCTGGAATAGCTTCCTCATCAGACGGCAGGAAAGGAAACAGGGGTTCATGTTTTTTGAGGTAGAGCTTTGCAGTTGGTGAACAAGACTCCGTGATGTGGTGCACAGATGCTGCCTTCCAGCCCCGCATGGCTGCATTGCCAAAGCCTAGCCTGGAACACCTGGGAGGTTTGAAGCGACCGCCAGGTTTGTGAAACACGGAGTCAGAGAACAGCAAAACACGTAGCTGGTGTCTGCTACCAAAACACAACGATCCCAATCAGGTGCCAAGAGCTGGTGTCATTATAATAATTATGTGGCTCTGACTTATAAAGTGACCTCTGAAAGGAGGGTCCCCATTTTAATGCACTTATCATGCTGCTTCCAGAAGATAATCAATACCCTGCCATGGCCTGGGACACGTGGTCCTCAGTCAGTGGCTAGTCAGTCACCGAGACAAGTCTCCTTCCTCAGCCATCTAAGTAATTAGTCCTTTTTCTCTGAAAAACAGCTGGGTCCTGGGGTGGGATGGGGCTGAAGGCTGGAATTCAAACCTGGTGAGGAGAGAAGGACAGATACATCACTTGGATTTTGTTTCAGCTGAAGCCCCAAAGTTCTTTTGTGTTGCTTAACTTCCAGGATGTTTTTCTGCAATCTCGGTATTTTCTTTCAGTCACAGTGACTGTTCACAGAGTCACAGAATCACAGAATGTCAGGGGTTGGAAGGGACCTCTGTGGGTCATCCAGTCCAACCCCCCCG